TACGCGCCACCATCCATCCAATTTATTAGCGAGGTCTACAAGCCAAAAAAGACAACAAATTCAAGTAAATAAAAAATGAAGCTTCCATTGCTTCCGCTCGTGCAGAACCACACGCATATTACCCCAAGTCAGCGGAATATAGACTTGGAAATCCGTTCCACGTCGTTTACGGCATGATTGGCACAGTAAAATTGGTGCGTCGTGGCATTCCCCTTTCCACGGTCTTTGCCGTCGCGCTTCAACGCATGAAAACTTTCAATGAGACCATCAATTACCTCCAGACGACGTTCCATCAGCGTCTCCCCTGATACGTCCTCCTCCACCTTTGCTTCATCTACGGATATGGGGCCCCACCACTCTGCCGTGTTGGGGAACAAGTGCGCCTCGGTGTTGAACACCCACCCCACGTGGCTCCCCACACTGCTGCCGCTCTCCACAGCGGCACAATACGGCGGGATGCCGCCACGGGGCTTCCCCTGAACGTGCACCGCGTTGCACTCGTCAAAAAGAAGGTACAGGTACTTCAGGGTCTCTGCAATCATGAAGCTCTCCATCGTATCGCCGTGTTGTGAGTCACGGTGGGGAAGTTTCACGTTGTGCAGCGTGGAAAAGCCATACGGTGTCCGCATGCGCAAGTTGATCGCCAATGCCAGTTCCCTTCCCATCACAAGATACGCAGGATCATGGGTCGCGCGGTACAGCATGTACACCGACTCCGCATGCTCGGGACGCTGCGGGTAGCCGAAGGAGGGATCTGCACCGCTCAAAGAAAAGTCCTCTGGCAACGCTCCAAAGTGCTTGAAGATGCTGTGGATCGGCCAGCTGCTCTCCGTTGCCTCTGTGTGGTGGCCGCCAAGGATCAGGTTGCCGGGAAAGAAGGAGGACAGGGACGTGTGTACCTCCCGCCACGTTCGACCGTTTTGCATATCGACGGTGGTCAGCATGCCGCCTTTTCTGACGTAGTGGTTCACATCTCGCACCGTCCGCTCAAAACGCTCCCAGTCGCCAATGTCCCCAGTCATGGCGTGCGACTTGATAAAGTACTCGATGGCGCTGTCAATCCCGCCAGAAAGGTGAGACTCAACTCCAATCCATTTTCCGGTCGTGACGTCAATTTGGTTCCCCATCAACCCCGTCTCAGGGCTTCGTGCGGCAAACAAGGCCTCGGAGGCACGCCGGGCAGCTCGCTCGTACCTGTCGTCGCCAGTGATCCCGGACAGAGCCGTCATCTCCAGCAAAAAGGTGCCCGCATCGGCAGTGGAGGTGCCCCTATTCCACGTCGAGCTACTGTAGTGCCGGAGGTTGACTGACAAGTACGGGATCCCGGTGCTGCTGTTAAAGCAGGGGAGGAGCCGATTCCCCAGGTCCGCGGCGAGGCGCACGAGTCCACCCGTGTAGTTGTGCTCCGAGGCAACAACCGCCACCACACCCTCCTCGTACATAAAGTGCGCCGCGAGAAGCCCGCCGAGGGCGCGGATGGTCGTCTCAAACGCAGAGACAGTGACGTCGATGTCAAAGCTCACGTGCTCCTCCACCCACTTCGCATAGCGGCGAAACTCCGTATGCAGCCCAGCGACCGCCAGTGTGTCGAGTGCGTCGATCAGCGTCCACCCGTAGCCACCCATGGTGTTCTTCCCAGTCCCGCTCACCGGGCACAACTCGTCCTTCGGGAAGGCGTACTTGATGTAAGAGCCAAAGGCGTGCTCTATCATCTCGCGCACGTAGGGCCGCATTTCGGCCGCAATGGGGTGCAACGCATCGGTGCTCCGCCACTTACTGCCGCCCTCGCCGTCCCGGACGCCCGCCCCCCCGCCTGGCCCGTCACCGCGCACTGGCACAGCGGCCAGCAAGAGGCATGCCGCCAGCGCACAGACATAGGCAGCAGGCCCAGAACATCTTTTCCCGCCCTCCCTGACGCACATGAATAAATTCTCTACGCAGCACCTACGCACTCTCAGTAATAAAAAAAGTTTGGAAATACAACTATAAATATGTCCGGCACAGAGAGCCAGTCCGTAAATCCTGATCTTTAAAAAATCCCCCATACGCGCCACCATCCATCCAATTTATTAGCGAGGTCTACAAGCCCAAAAAAGCAACAAATTCAAAGTAAATAAAAAATGAAAGCTTCCATTGCTTCCGCTCGTGCAGAACCACACGCATATTACCCCAAGTCAGCGGAATATAGACTTGGAAATCCGTTCACGTCGTTTACGGCATGATTGGCACAGTAAAATTGGTGCGTCG